ATATGTTATTTGGCCCTTGGGAGAAAGTTCTGTCAAGTAGTGTCAGGTTAGAGTTCTAGTGCCCCTATGTTTTGAAGATTTCATATCTGCTGAATGAGCAGCCTTTTTGTCATAAATTGCCATTTTGCTGACCCTCTGAAAACCCAACAAATGTGGTCCTGTTACAAGAGTTTTGTGTACAGCCAGTAGAGTGAAGGGGAAATTCAAACTGTAGCTGCTCAGTGCTTGTAACTTGTGACCAAGAAATGACCTGGCATTAGGGGCAAGAAGGCCCAAGTGCAGAAGGGGTTTAACTGGCTGGACACAGGAATGCCAGGACAGAAGGATTCTGTAAGAGAGCAGCATTTCCTTTGGTGATGAGATGAGAGATGCTGCAGTGTTGTCTTGTAGCTATCGGTTGGTCGTGGAAGGTGAGTGCTCAGGGGCCACCTCTGGGCAGCAGAGCTGGGCTGGGGGATGGACCAACGCCGGGCAGGGGCACCCTATGGTGATGCTCAGGGGATTGGTGCTGGTGCAACTGTACGTAAGGACTTAGCTTGCATGACACCTTTGCAGACTCCCTGTAGAATTGCTTATGGCAGCAGGATTCTGTCCAATGCATTGTGCAATAAATCTTTTATATTTAAGCACAAACATATTTATTTCACCTGAAGTGATACAATAAAAATTATCTAACAAGAGACTTGCAAGTTAGCAGTTAAAAACATAGATTCTGTTTGCAGAATTGACTGGACAATAAACATGAAATTTCAACACAGAATGGGTTTATCTTACCCACAGTTACAACATAAAACTAATTTTTCTTTGATGATGCAGCTCTTGGCAGTTTCAGGCAAACTAAAGGTCTCTGCTGGGATGTTCTGTGGATATTTATAAAAATTTGGACTGAAATGCCTTATAAAAGAAAAAAAATATATGTGTACTCAGGTATATAAGTAGCGTATATCCTATTGTATGTACCACCAGGATAATATGAATTTCTTTTAACATAATCTATAGGACCTGTTTTTTACACTGAAAACAATGGAGAATCACTCAGTCCAAAAGAGTCAGCTGAGTGATCTACAAAAATAAATTTCCTTAACTGAAAACAATTAGGAATGTAATAATGAAGGCACAGTTCTCACAATAACTAAGGGGTAATTACGGAGCTTGTTTTGTGACTGATGAACAAAGACTTTGAAAGGAAATTAAATCACTGATTTCTTATCATATAGTTAGATGCCAAATGAGATCACATAATTATAGATGAATGAATTTCTGTCCTCATTTTATGTATAATCATGTCTAGCATGCTGATTACAAAAGAAAAAGTGGAATCTTGGGTGTTTATTTCATGGAATCACAGCGGAGATTCATTATTGGCACACAAGGGTGGATAGAGTCTTGCAGCTATATGAAGATTAAAATTATTCAGCCCCAATCAACTCATCTACATATGCAGGAAAATTTTGCAGGAAGCTAAAGCATGTATTGCCAGGACGCTTTATCAGGAATTAACTTCTTCACAGCCACAGGAGTGCATTGCTGGCAGGATGTGCTATAGGAAGGTACATAACTGGCACATCCCCATCCTGGTCACATCACATCCCTTTACATACTGTCCTGCTTTAAATAGCATTAGTTCGTGTTTTTTCTCTACCCATACAACAGCCTCCATCACTTTTTCATTCTTAGTGGCTTAATCTTATTCTTTACTGAGAGCTGCTTCTCATATTTGAAAGATCTTTTAAGTGAATACTGTTGTTTGTTACCTGGACATAGTGTTTGGATGCTTCCTGACATGAGGTTATGAACAGTGCCACTAATATGTCACTACCAAATGGAACAAGAGGAGTCCTATGTTCATCTACTTCCACTCCACAAAAGTA